AGTTTAGACGAACTTAAACTCCCTGTTAGCAAATAATCTTAGTTAACTTAACGACGAACCGTTTAAGCTAACAACGTAAGAATGAATCATGCCGCAATCTAATAAAACTCCATCGTATATCACTAAAGGTTTTTATACCTTATTTTTCTCTCGATTATCCCATCGTGATTCTTGGTGCAATTGCAGCTGGTAAATTAAAAGTTATTTTTTCGCCCATCGATAATTTCAAAGTAAAAATGAGATGATTACTGCCTTTTTGTAGGAGGAAAGGTTACCTCAATCAATTCATCATATACGGCTTATGAAATCATTCATCAATTACAAGATTCTGGTGCATCCGTTATTATTGTTATTCCTGCATTGCTCTCAGTCGCGATTAACGTCGTAGCCGCAACAAATATTTCCGAATCTAATATATTTTTATTTGGTGAAGAAGAGATTAATGGATTTCAACCTTTCTCGTCCTTAATGTCTATGCAAGAAGTTAATCCAATAGAATATACCCCAGAAGAAGCAAAATTAACTACTGCTTATTTATATTATAGTTCTATAGTTCTGGTACTACAGGAAGAATAAGGGAGTTGAAATTACTCATACTAATATTGTATCAAATTTAACTCAAATAACTGCTATCGAAGAAAATTTCACTTATAAAACTTCTCTCATAGGATTTCTCGTAAGTTATATTAATAACGATAAATGTTTTAAAGGAAAAAAAGATTAAATTACGAGTTTACATTAATTCATTGATTTATAATCTAATTTTTTTTTTTTTACTTTCTTCCATATTTACGGATTGGTCCTTATACATCTTGTTACTCTCAAGGTATTTAATGAGTACGAATATTTAAAATTCTATGTAACCTTCACTTTTATATTCACGTTTTGTATCAAAGGGATCCCTGTCCTAAATTCGAACTAGAAACATTTTGTCGAGTTATTCAAGATTATAAAGTAAATTTTGCACCAATTGTTCCTCCTATCGCTTTACTCTTGGTTAAAAATCCCGTTGCAAAAAAATATGACTTATCAAGTTTACAATGGGTTATGTGCGATGCTGCTCCTTTAAGCAAAGAATTGATTAATGATTTTGATAAAATTTATAAAATTACAATCAAACAAGCTTATGGCATGTAATAATGTGAGAAACTTTCTTTTGATAGATACTTGCTTATTTCTTTTATTTTCCTTTTAGGCTTAACCGAGACATCTTCAATAACTCATTTAGTTAAGGCGAAGACTGAGAGAGTTGTCAATGGTAAATAATATATTTGCAATATTAACTTGTATTTAATGAATGCAACCTTATTCGTAGGCTCGGTTGGAATTCTTATTCCAAACGTGGAATGTAAAATCGTTTCAGAGAATGGTCAAGGTAATCAACCAAATTTTCAGTTAAAAACATTTTCAGAGAAAACAAAATTAAAAGCGATTTTATTAATAGAACTCGGATATAATGAACCTGGCGAATTATATATTCGTGGACCAAATGTTATGAAAGTAAGTAATTTCTATATAATTTAAATTAAATTAAATAATTAATTATACAACTGGTATATTTAATAGGGTTATCTTAATAATAAGGAGGCTACGGACTTGTGTATTGATAATGATGGTTGGTTTCGTACTGGTGATATAGGATACGCTGACCTTCAAGGTATATATTATTTATTCATTCGTATGTTTCGCTGATTATCAAAAAAAAAAAAAAAAAAAAAAAATTAATTAGAAATTCATTCTAGAAAATTTTTTCATTGTCGACCGCGTTAAAGAATTAATTAAATACAAGGTAAATACAATAAAATGTTATATTTTTAAATTTAATAATTTTTAATAATTTTTTTTTTTTTAATTAGGGATACCAAGTGGCATTTTAATCTAACATTATCAATAAATATTAAAATTTTAATAAAAAATGCTCAAAAATTTTTTTTTATAAAAAAATATATTAAATTTTTTTTTATTTTAAAATAAATGTATTCTTTTTCCAACCAATTAACACAGATTCGCTGTTTTACTTTTAATTCAAAGTTTTAAATTTGTAACTTTATCTTAAATGATAAAGAATACATTATTTTAAAGCAGTATGATAAGAACTAAAAATACGACACATTAAATTTTTTTATCGATAAAATTTACAAATACGCAATAAATATATTAACGAATCTATTTAGGAATTCTCTCGGTCATGTATTGGTGAGGATAATGATGGTTCGCTGATTATAACAATTATAATCTTCAAAATCATTTCCGAGTTTGCATAATAAACCGGTTGATTTGGTATCGTTGATACTGAAGGACTTATATTATATCCATTATCACCTCCATCGCTAAATTTTGATGAAACCCGTCTTGCATGTATTCGCCGAATCACGCTGCATTTCCTCTCTTGCGGCTTCTTGGACAAGATCGGTATTTAGGGTACTTATTCATGTGTTCTTCTTTAGCTGCTTCAGCCATCTTTTGGAATTTAAGACGAATTTCCATCGGTTCGCCATGCCACAACTTGCCAACCTCGTTATTTGTGATACCTTGATGTTATGCGACAATGGTAGGTTCTAGGAATCTTCCTTCTCATGGGGCGGTTTCTTTCTTGGATGGATCAGAAACGCTGCAAGGTAAGGCGAAAGATGGAAGACGAACATCGGTGTCTGGAAGCATTCATGAAACATTTGGAGATGTGGAAACTGGCTTTGACGTTTCCAATAGGTTTGTCACTTTAGAATCATATGGAACCAGAACGGGTTCGAAATAAAAATGTCCTTTCTTTGTTCATAGAGATCTTGTAGACATATTGTCGGAACTGAATTATTATTAAGATTGTTAATATTCTTGCGAGAAAAGTTGTTGGGAGCATTTTTTTTTTTTTAGAAAAATCGGATTTTATAAAATTGGGAAAAATTTTTTTTCAGCCCTTATATATTAATTTTAGTGTATACATAAATAAAAAAAAAATTGTTAACGGTAAATTAAAGCATTTAAAATAATTGTCAACAGTAAATTAAAACATTTAAAAATAATTGTCATAAAACAAAAACAAGTTAATTTTATAAGATGGAATTCATAGGAAGACTTTCTTTTAATTGGTTGAAAAAATTGATCATCATTTCTATAATAAGTACGATCGACAAAAAAGCTATCCAATAATAAAACAATTAAATATCTTCTTTGGAATCCTAACTAGCTGCCTGCAAAAATAATCCAAAATAATCTCAGTTTCAAAAGAGTTTGCTTATAGGTGGCATTTCTATAATACGAAGCTTAAAGTTCTTTATATTGTTATAGAACTTGTTTTAAAAATTTTTAGTAAAGAGTTTTACAAATTTATATTAAAAAATAAAGAATTTCTGAATATATGAAAAGATAAAATAATTTATTACATTTTAATATTTGCCTTTCGTTGCTTTTTGTTACTTTTATAATAAATATAATAAAATAAACAACTATATCAGAATTTTTTATATTAATTATATTATTTGTAATTGTTGCGGATTGTACAACTATCAGCGGTAAGATTTTTATTTTATTTTACTTAACGTTGATGTAACTCCATTTTCCGAAAAAGTACTTTAAACTGTATAAATAATACCCGATTTAAATTGATCTGCAATAGCTATGAAGGAGGTGATTTGTGTAACAAATAAAAATAAAATGCCCTGATAAAATAATTCTTTCAAATGAAAAATTAAATTTGGAATGACTAAATGGTATACAAAACAAAAAGGTGAGATCATTCGTTTGTTAGAAAAGGTATGAAGAAATATAAATACAAGCAAATTTTCGTCAAAAAAAAAAACTTTTTTAATAAAAATTCCATCAATTTAACCTTTAAAAATTAAAAGAAAAACTAAAATGTATCAAAATCCAGGAATCCAGCCATCGGATACTTTTTACCCATCCTATGATGGCTTTTCCACTCTTAATAATCTTAATAATCACCCAGTACCTTACATAACTGCACCAAACGCAAATAGTAATGACGAACAGTGTTATTATCCTACAACCTCTTTTGCAACTGAATCAACATCTTATACTCCACAATTTATTGGTCATAATTCTAACGACCAGATTTTAGAACAAAACCCATCAAATACCATTCCAACTAATTCATCTAACATGGCTAACGCTAGCCTTTCTCAAATACAAACGGTTGAAATTCTCGGTTATGAAATCATTATAATCCCCACATCTTCTCCGTTGGCAAGTTTTATCAGTTTAGACGTGCACAATCAACTTCAACAAGACAATATTTATCAACTGTCGCAGTCGAATGCTAGCTCTCCTCAAATACAAACGATTGAGATTCCCGGTTATAAAATTATTATAGCCCCCACATCCTCTCTATCGTCCAATTTAGACATGCAACATCAATTTCAGCAAGAAAATACTTATTTAGATTATTCTTTTAATTCAGTTAATCCACCACAATTAATTCAAGATCAAAACCATTTTTCTAGTGCAGGTGAAATTTCTATTAGGCCAAATGTTATTAACTTCGTTCAAGACAATACACAGCCCCAACATCAACAACAAAATAATTTAGGATTAAATGAATCGCTTAATGACTTCAACAACTTTTTTGGTTGATTTCACATCTTAAATCTTACATCGTTTTTCCTGATTATACTAAATTTTGACTCCTTCAGTTATTTTTTTTCAATCATATTTATTTATTATTTATTTTGACAATATATGATTTATTACTTAAAAATAAAGTTTATCCTTTATAAAAAGTTATTTTTTTGGATACAAATGTTGAAGTCCGTTTTATATTTTTGATTTTTAGCACTTCATACGTACAGGAAAAAAAAAACAGACAATGCAAATGCTTAATAATATAAATTTTTTTTTTCTTTTAAAAAAGATAATTTTAAGTAAATATTTTTAATTTTAATTAAAATTAAAAAATATTGCTAACGTTTGTGCATAAAACCTTCTTCAATACTTAGTTGACTGGATCTTTTTTACCCAGAGCTTTTTCATATTTTTTTTTTTGATTTTTCATGTCGTTCAATATCATCCCATACTGCACCATAGTTGATAAATTTTAATTTGATTTGATATAATGGATTCATTATTAAAAAAACTCTCTTATTCGAAAGTTTGTTATATCGAAAAAAGTATTTGTCTATATAAAAAATATAATAAATATTCAATTCAATAACATCTATTTTATATTTTTCCGTAGAGTTACGATTTAACTTAGTATAAAGCACTTTTTATCTATTCATAAAATAATGCATTATAAGATAATAAATGTAAATAACCTTTAATAATATAACGAAAGTATGGAAATCGGTAAAAATATATTTGCCATGATAAAGCCTTCTTTGCATTTCTAATTAACTTGTTTAGCAGTTATTTTTAAACAAGAAAGGCTTTAAGGCAAACATATATTTAGTTATATGATTTGAGATGTAGATTAGTACGTTGACAAAGACAAAATTTTGCACCATTCGACTTTGCAACTCAGCAAATATATATAGTGGTTCCGTCACTAAAACGAACTTGTAAAAAATAAATAATAATACTACATTGAAGTAAGTACTAAATATGAATGAAATAAAATACATATACAAGAAAAGTTATAAAAACAAAATGCTGGGCGATACAACCATATTTCTCATTACAAAGAAATCCAATCCGATTACTCTAGAATGTAGGTGAGGAATTCCGTAACGTGCTGAATTTTAATAACTGATAAAATATTTCTGACTCTACAAATCCTCCCCTTCTCAATTTTTGAGCTCCTGCGAAAATTAATCAAATAGCTGTACAACAAAAAAATATTTTTGTAGAATGACCGTCGGATTTCACCCTATACCTAATGGTATCGAGTGCGTAATTCAACCTACTCACGATTGCTTATAATTATTGATATATAAATAAAAATTATTAAAGATTTCTTGGATTACTGTAAAATCTATGACCAATAATGTTTTTTTCTCAGCATAATTTCCTTCTTTAGAATTATTGCCAATAATCAAATAATTATTATTTGTATAACGGTAATGACTATATTTAAATGAAGTCTTAAACAGCATATGCATTGTCTAATTGTAATTAGAATACGTGACTATCAATTTAAAAAATTAAATAAATCGCATGTATCTGTTCTAAGAGACATGTTATAAAAAAAAATAAGCGCTAGACTATTTATTATCAGACTTATAACACCAACCTAACAAATTTATTTCCATTTAATATAAACTTCAATGAAATTTCAGGGCAATTTGACGTTTGATTCTACCTGGAAAATACTAGAATAAATTCTCAGAGTCACTATCAAATAACCACGAATACAAACTCATAATTCTGAAATTATTCACTTGAAATTCCTAGATAAATTATTATAATCCCTATATTTCAAATTAGATTGTTAAATTAAACGGCAGAGCCCGTTATTTGGTACACGTGATCCAATATCTTGATGAATTAACAAATGATTTGTGATTTATTAAATGATTTATTAAATAATAAGTCAAAAATACTCGTTGGAACATTTAATATAAACATATTTAATTAAGATTTCAACTTTCTTTTAATAGTTATAAAATGAATAAGCATAATAAAAAAATAATGAATTGTAAATTGTAAATGAATTTATAGTGTTAATAGCAGTTCTTTATGGGTTGTAAGGTAAGCAGAAAGTTTGTTATTTTAATATAATAACGGAGTTTCTAATCTAATACAACATTGATAAAGTATTGCCTCAACGTCGGCACTCTATACGATCAGGTATGTTTATTAATTATTATTTCGGAGTTATTACTTTAAAATGCGAGGGAAAGAGAAATGTACTAAATGCTATTGTTTTATTATTTAAGAATATCGAACGTTAATTAATAAAAGAAAAAATTCCGCCATTATATACCGAAAAAAATAAGGACATTATGCATATTGGTCAGGTGGCATATTTGGCCACGAAACAAATTTGGCGGTCTAACTAAATGCTATATTTTATTGATTTTTATAATATTAAATGTAAACTAACTTACATAATAAATGTAATAATAGTATGAACAATAAGGTTATATAAATAAGAACTTCATCATTTGTTCAATTCCTTTATAATTTTGAAATAATTTTATTCTTTACCCTATCTCTTAATAATCTTCTCAAAATTTTACCAAAGGGACTTTTAGGAATTTGATTAGTAAAATAAATACCGCCAAGTGATTTGGAACTCTTTGAGATACAAATGTTTTAATCTCTTCTTTTATCTCATCAGATTGAATTATATCTTTTTGTAATACTACGTATGCTGCTGGATATTCTGTTGCACTTTCGTTAGAATGTACACCAATTACCGCAGCATCAGTAACAGATGGATGAGTGAGCAAAACTGATTCAAGTTCGGCTGGAGCTACTTGGTATCCCTGTACCAAATAAACAAAAAAATATATATATATTTGCAAAAAAAATTAAAAATGTTATATAATTGGTTATTACCTTGTATTTAATTAATTCTTTGACGCGGTCGATAATGAAAAAAATTTTCTAGAGATGGATTTTAATATAAGTTTCCCATTTTTACGGTGAGCGAAATATGAATGAATGAATTAATACATACCTCGAGAGTCAGCGAATACCTCATCCCCAGTACGAAACCAACCATCGCTATCAATACAAATGTCCGTATCTTCTTTATTATTAAGATAACCCTATTAAATAAATCAATTTATTTAATTAATTTATTAACTTAATTTGTTGAAAGATAAATTAATAAATTACCTTACTTTCATAACATTTGGTTCACGGACGTATAATTCTCCAAATTCATTACATCCAAGTTCTATTAATAATTTCGCTTTAAATTTTTTTTTCCAATTTAAAGTTGACTGGGAAAAAAAATTAATTAATTACCTTGACCATTCTCCGAAACTAATTTACATTCCATGTTTGAAAGAAGAATTCCAATCGAGCCTACGAAAAATTTCAACAAATTTATGAATTGCCAAATTAAAATCACATGACATCCTTCAACAATGTTATAATTGATGTTTCTGTTAAACCTAAAAAAAAAAAAAACAAAAAGTAAATAGGCAAAATGTATATCATAAAAATTCTTTCTATCAATATATATACCGTAAGCTTGTTTGATTGGAATTGCGTGAATTTTAACAAAATCATTGCTTAATTAAGTCTTTGCTTAAAGGAGCGGCAGCGGATATAGCTAATCGTAAACTTGACAAATCATATTTTCTTGCAATGGGGCTTTTAACCAAAAGCAAAACGACAGGAGGAACAATTGGTGCCAAATTTACTTTATAATCTTGAATCGCACGACAAAATATTCCTAATTCAAACTTGGAAAGAATAACACACGAAGCTCCATTTATAAAAAAAAAAATAGGGTTTTGATTGTCGGATTATCATTTATATATCGATATATAATTTTTATTGAAAAATTCCCATAACCAGGTCTCGTGATTCTCGTGAGACAACACCGGTTATAAAAAAGGATTGAGATCCTGTTTTAAATATAGGGTTCTTAGAATTACGATAGTTCTGACTATTATGTAATCAAAATAATGGATACTTCTATGCTGCAATGATCTGTAATACAACTTTTCCAAATTTTTGCGGTTAAAAATAAATTTTGTACACCAAACTCTTTTATTCTCAAAATTCACATTTATAGAAGTTTCGCGACAAAAAATAAAAAAGAGTTTAACGCCAATCCAAAGAGAATGAATCATTTATAAATAGAAAAGTATATTTATATATGAAGAATGAAAATTTTCAAAAATCAATGTTGTTAGTTATCAAAGTGATATGTTTCTTTACCCTGTAAGTTGCTCGAGAAGTTTTGCAGAAATTAGTTATGGAATGAAATTTAAACTTTCAATCATTAACTGTTAACGTTAATAAATGTCGTATAACTTTTGGTAAAAAAAAAAAAATATTAAATTTATTGAATAAATATATAATCGATTTAATAGCAAAATCGTAAATTATCAGCCACAATCATCGAACAAAATATTAGTACCCCATTTTCTTGATGACTATTGATTGTTAATATTGGGATTAGAAATCGATCATTGTTTTATAAATCATTTGGGTTTTGATAGCAATATTTTAACTATGGGCCGGTGCAAAAAGATTCGTACCTAACTCAGAAAGGAAAGGATTTACGCCAAGAAAAATACCGTACAGCTAA